TTTTTGTTCATTTCGTTTGTTTACGATTAAGAAGCATCCTTAGTTTTAGTCAGGTCTTATTTTCTTCCCCAATTTTCACCATGGTACTTAGTGTACAATTGGTTATAGTGATGCAAATTTGTGAGTTAAGGTTTCAACGTTGGGAAACAAAAACACTTTAAAACCCTATGTTTCCAAAAAGGAGGCTTGAATAAACTGAAAAAACTCGTATACAGTTTTGTACAAAATTATAATAATCTTATTAGAAAAAACTGGTTTCAGTAAACGCGGTTCAAACAAAAAAAACTAACTCATGACTTTAGTTTTTTATGCTAGCTGAGCCAATCCGTCAAAGCAAAATTTTTTTGTCAATTTTTTTAATATCGTCGGATCTTTTTTCAATGTTGGGGCTACTAATTGTTTTGTTGACATTCTTGTTCTCATTCTAATTGGTTTTTTGACAATAAGTTATCTGAACAATTTAAAAATTTTTGAGATCATTAGTAAGAATGACATCATTGACGCTGTTTGAATTGATTGCCAATTAAAACGACTTCATTATCTACAACAAAAACCCGTTGAACCAAGTTCCAATCAACGCTCGTTTCGAAATTTTCCTTTCATAGCTTTTTCTGAGAGTATTGGCCTTCGCTGCTTCGACGTGTTTTTTTTTCATCTTGACACACAATCTGAAATAAAAGATCTTCAACACTCCCGCTCTACAAAAACGCTAAAAGTGAAATATCTTCAACAATGCCATAAATCTAAAATATTTACAAAAATTTATCTAATCTTGAGCAATTTTGATAACCCAAAAATGATGGCCGAAAAGTCAGTTTGCTGAAATAAACTGCGTGAGCGTACCCAAGTTTCTTGCTGCAAATTTTTTTCTCTAACAAGTGAGTCAGCACCACAATGTTTTTAGAGAACGTTGCAGAACTTCCGAAGCCCAAAAAAAACACAATTTTCTACGCAATTTTATTAAACAAATTTCTGAACGAAGATGAGAGCAGCTTATTTTTAAATTCAATTATTCTCATGAAATTTTTTTCTGTCCTTGAGTAGGAGTTCGCGCCAAAATAACCAAGTTTTTGTTAAATCTTTTTTGTAACCAATTTTCAGTGTTAAATTATTTTTTCTAATTTTCTGACGGTGTGTGAGTGCTCAGTCTATGAGTTTTATATTACTTATAGCTTTAGTCAACGAGTCATCATTTTGGCGGCCTTCATTTTAACTAAAAGGAAAATTATATTGTTAACAAGACTTTTCGCATCAGGAACAATCAATACTGTTCCGACTGCCTTTTAAACTCCATGGAAGATTGTTCACTCAGAGCAAAAAACGATGAAACGTTTAGAAAAAAGGAAAAATTGTGTAAAAAAATTTGCTTTTTTGAAAATCATTTCCCCTCGCTATTTATTTAATGATCAAAGTGACGAAAGAGCACAAAGCAAAGTATTTAAAACAATCCTCCCACGCTTTTTGAAGATCAAAGTGATGATAGAGTACATAGCAAAGTATAAATAGTCCAAATAGCATGTCTCAATTCAAATATGAACGTTTTTTAATAGAGTTAAATCTCCGTTTACGCGTTAGTAGCACGAAATGTATCGAGAAGAAAACAACGTGCTGCGCCTAAGCAAAAATTGACGAATATCCGTGTATTATGCAAAGTAATCGCATTTTCACTTGCAGGCAAGCTGCGCATGCAAACTTTTGTGTATTTGGTGTTGAAAAAATCCCGCAATTTCATTAAAAAGCTATGAAGAAAAAAAAAAGTAGCAAAATTAGGGCAAAAGATGGAGCAAAGCGACACCTAAGTTTGTGTTCCTTGTTATTGTTCGGGATTTCAAAAGAACGTGACAAAGCACTTGTGCTCAGGATGACTTTTCACCAGAAAAATTTCGACTTTTAACTTGCCTTTTGATGAAACTTTTTCTTATCATCCGGAAGGTATTGTTATCTTGAGCTCAAAATTCATTTAAAAAAATTTCATATGCGATTAATTTTTTTATAAAATTAAAGAAATTTAAAGCTGACCAGTTTGATCAATTTATATTAATTCACTCATTATATTTCGTGCTATTAACGGGTAAGCGAGATTTTATTGTACCGACTTCCAACAAAGTCACGTAATAATTGCACTCGACTGGTATTTTTCTCCTAAATTTCTACTTTTACCACGCAAATTTAGACGCATGTTTCTATCTTCATCAAAAAATATGGATTTCCCGAGCTCAAATTTTGAAAAATTTTGTACGTGTGATCTTTTTGGTAAGGTTATGGGGGTTCAAAGAATGCCATTATAGCCAACTTGGGATGATTAACATTCAATATATTTCGTGCGAAAAGCCTGTAAGAGGAGGTTTAATCCGTCAACAAAAATATTCTAAATTGAACTGAGGCACACTGTTTGTTCTTTTTCAATTTTGCTACTCTGCCTAAAACATCGTGAAGGAGATGCGTTTCATAAAACTCTCACAAAAATGGTTTCATCGGTTTTTTAAAAGCGAACACTACTACATAACCCTTAAAAAGCCGTCGAATTATTCAGGGTATTTATACGAGCAGTCTCTAAGGCTTGGTAGTGATACGTCTTGGTAGTGATACGAACACTCTTGTCTGCCTTAAACAATAATCTAAAATTAGTTCAGATGTGGTTTGATCTACTAAATGTTTTGCCAATACAAACTGTCTCTTTTCATAGTTAACATATGTCTCTACAACTTTCGAAGAACGTGATGAGATGTTTTAGCTTAAGGGTTTTTGTTTTGTAAATTAATAGGTGCTTAAATTTGGACCATTTAGACTTAACTGGACCATTTTTGGATAATTAACGCGCGCTATATACAAGTTTCGAGTTAACGCGAACTGTGTGCGGTGAGGTGAGTTGAATCATTCCAAGTTGAATTGAGTTAAATCTTATTTGTATTTAAAAATTTGTGTATCGAAAATTGAATCACGTTGTACTTTACAAGTCGCAGGGATAAATGGCTAGAGATTGATGTTCTAGGAAAAACGTTGTCAGTTAAATCAACTATGTACGATAGCCATTTCGGTTTTTTCAACGCTTGCAAAAACCCTGAGTAAGTTCTATTTTGCAACTTTTTTAGAGTTACTCCCATTTTAAGGACTATTTTGAGAATTTATGGAAAGTTATGACCAAAAAGTATGAAATTTGGCGCGTGTTTTTCCAACCTTGCAAACTTGATTGATACTTTCAAAAGATTGACAGTCCTAAAACTGTCAACCATTACTCAATTCACCCCTGTAATTGTTTAGAAAATTCCTTTTCAAGAAAAGAACAGACTCGATTAGTATTTATACAACTCATAACAAGGAAATAATCCAATTTTGGAAGAACAACAAAAAGGCAAGTTAGATGCCTATCGAGTGCTAACTCTTGATTTTCTGACTACTAAAAAACTTTCATCAAATACTTTTCATCACAAATGTGTAGATCCCGTATGCGATACAGACTTGATTTCTGCTAATTTTTTTGACATAAGGCCTCAATAAACGTTTTGTCTTATGTATAGAAATGATAAAATAGTAAACGTCTTTTTTTCAGAATTTTGTAATCTGAATTGACGTTTGTTATGCGTATGTCTCAAGAAATATTTAACCGCTGATTATTTTATTGATTAATAAGCACGGGTGCTGCTCTCTCGTGATTTTTGTTGTTCATTTTAATAGTTCATAGACATGCAACTCCCTAACGTTACAGAAATCAAATTTGCTTTTTAATTTTCTGGAACGGTCTGTTTTTTTTGAAAATTGAGAATCATTTTTTGTTGTTTCTCAATTTCGACCCATTACGTTTTATAAGCCATTCCATATATTAACACAGCTTTTTGATAAATAAATTGGAGATAAGTTTTTTAAATGATTAGAAGTTGGTTTTGAGTAAGCAACTGACGCAAAAGGAATATAATGGACGCAAATTCAGATGTCCTTTTGAAAATAAGTTATCCATAAAACCATGAAACTCAAAATTCTTTAAAAATTGTTTCGATAAACAAACTTAAGACTCTGAAATTTTCTTGTTGAATTATATGGTTTCACTTCAATTTTCGGTGGTGGTATTACTATAATTTAGAACAGAAGCTTCCAAGAACTTCACTAATCATGCAAAACATGTGTCCAAAGTAACAGTTCAAGTGTTAATTGTTTTTACAATTGCATTGGCTAGTCTCTTAAACCTCAGACATTTGAAAATCAGACTAAAAATTGAACAATAGCTATGGAAGCGAAAGAATTCATGTAGTTGCCTTTGGTATCATGCTTAAATTATCATTGTTTGATTTTATTTACCACTTTATAAACGCCAGGATATTGTAACTGGTGTGTGGTCTTTTTTAATGCTAACAAAAATAACTCAAAAATTAAATTATTCAGTTGTTACATGGCGTCGCCGGTGACTCAAAAATGGTAAGTGAGACTTATTTTGACCAGCAACTTGAAAAACATTTCCTTTTTTTTCAGAACGTTTATTCGAGCTGTATATTTGCTTCTGGAATAAAATTGAAATCAAAGCTGTGTACAGATCTTCAGAACTCAGTTTCAGGTATCAAATGTTCCCTCTCTGAATAGCGGAGAAAAGACATCTTAAATAAGATAGAAATTCCTCCTTAAAATTTGGTTTGACAAAGAAACCCATTGGGCTAAAAAAATGTTACGTTTTTATAAAAATCATTTTACTTCAAAAGTTATTTAAAAATGCTTATAAAATTTCATGGTATGAAAAAAATTCTTATTTTGCTATTTTCATACTATTTTTTGAGTCCATGAAATAGTATGAAATAGTATGATAAGCAATTTTTTCATAGTATGAAATTGTATGATACGCATTTTTTGTCGACCCGGGAGTTGATAGAAACATGAGCCAAGAACCGCTTTTTGATCTCATTTAAATTTCTCAAGCAAACATCACTCAAATCGACACACTGAACTTAATACTAAACTGAACTTGTTACTAATTATCTAAATAGCAAAACAAGAAATTATTTTGAATGTTTCAGGGGCACTGCTGTGTTGATCATCTACACCTGTGCAATCATAGTAATCGGAGGCATCGGCAACGGAGTCCTCATCTTCGTCCATTTCCGGAGGCGGCCGGATCCCAGGTCAACGTCCAAAATCAAAGTCCTCTACCACTTTATCTTCATTATGGCAGTTCTGGACCTGATAAGCTGCACGCTTATTCTGCCTACGCATGTTTACCAATTAGTATTTGAATGCCAATATTTTTCTATTGTTGCTTGCAAACTGTTCGCTTATGGGCGACTTTTTTGTGTATATTCTTCGATGTTTATTCTCGTCGCAATTGCGATCGATCGATACATAAGCGTTTGCTTCCCGTTCGTGGAAAGCGCCACTATCAATATGAAGAAGGCGAGAGTGTTGACGGCTCTGGCGCTAGTGGCCGGAGGTCTGGCGGCCGTTCCCAACCTGGTGGTTTTCGAGGTCACCGAACTGACTTCGGGGGTGACAACTTGTCAACCCACCAGAAGCAGCGCAATTCGTAAGTTTGATTTCTAGGAGATATTTACGACTCAAAATCTTTTCAAAAAATCAAATTACTTATGAATTGAATGAAATTGATACTATAATTGTTCCGAGTTTCGAAGAAAGTGACGGGAATTGAAACTAATTGTTTCAAGTTTTGTAGAAAAAAAAATAATTGTGCCCGGGTTGGCGTTTGATTGACAACTTTTTTCTGGACACATTTGGACTTCTTAACTGGTCGTGTTTGGTAAACTTTTTATACCATCTGTAAGATATTGATGCTTCACGCTGCGATTTTAGCTGCGACTATTTGTTTTTATTTTCTGGGGAATTGAATTTGGTACTACTTTGACCACAATTGTTATCCAACGGGATAAAGTAACCCGGTTAAACTGTTATTTCTGATTTACATTCTAAGTTATTATTTAGATGGAGCACGCAATGTTGTTTCAGTCTTAACGCGCTTTGTTAGAGTTGTCTGACCTTCAAAGTTACGAGCTAAGTTTGCATCCAAGTTGCAACCTAATCTGCGACCATTTGTTCTAGAATTATAGGTGATTGAATTAGGGTCTACTTTGACCACTATTATTCAAGTTGTGATAATTAAACCGCAATATATTAAAACTCTAGATGCAAAGTAATCATTCCAAATTGTTCTAGACAAGCAGTTTGCTCTTCAATTTACAGGATACCAGAAGCGTAAAATATCTCTTTGTACCCGGGTTGACCTCCATTTTTAATGCGAGACGGCCAAACCGTTGGTTACTACGTTTGAGTAATCAAGGTTTATGTCTCAATACCAAAAAGTTTTAAGAAATTAAAATGTAAAAAAAATCAATATTTTTGGTTTATGGAAAAATGCTAGTCATACAATTTCCATGTATGAAAAAAATACTAATCATAGACCTTTCATGCAATTTTCTGTACGTATGGAATTGTATGGAAAGTGTATGACTAGCATTTTTCCATATATGGAAATTGTATGACTAGTATTTTTGGTCATCCCGGGTACTTAACGGTCTCATGACTTAATATCGCTTACTTCTCTATACCATGTCTATATATCCCATTCCACAATAGCCCAGGAGACAAAATCATCCAACGCAGGGTAGCCCGAGCCCGTTGCAGTCAATTTTAAGGTTAAAGCAAATCTAGCATGATTTTTTTCGTCTATAACACTTAACATTACGAGGCCAAACTGTGCATTTTTGTTCCGACTTTCGATACGAAAGTAACGGAATATTTGTGCTCGGGGTGGGTTTTTTTTTCTTCAGACAAATTTCGACTTTTTAACTAGCCATTTTTGACGGAATTTTTTTATATCATTCAAAAGATATTGTTGTCCTGAGCTTAAATTTGAAAAGATATTTTACCTGTGATCATTTTTCGTAAAGTTATGAGGGTTTAAAGATTGCCATTTTGGTCATTTTGACCAATTTGGGACAATTAACGCGCGATATAATTCGCGCTATTAACGCGTAAGCGGAGATTTAATCCGTCTTATAAATCGTTCCAAATTAGTTGAAGGAAGCTTATTTGCCATAATTGATTTGTTACAAGGAACGAAATCTCTCTTTTTGTACTTTATATGGCGTGTGGGGGGATGATTTTCATTTAAAAAATTTCAAATTTTAGAAAAAAAAATTTCATTTTATTTTATTTCATTTAATTTTCTTATGTTATTACTGCTGCTCCATAAACCTTAAAAGGCAGTCGGAACATTCAGGGCTTCGCCCTGATACGAGCACTCTTGTTTTGATTTGTGAGCGGATTCCGCAACAAAGGACGCTCCCTTTGTTCTTTTTTTGTTCTTTCATTTTCTTTGATTGTTCCGACAAATTTTTACCACGTTTAAAAATGTGTCTATTCAGTGCACAGTTTGGTCTGGTAATGAAATTTTGGGATAGAAATTCCGGCATAAGTGAAAAAACATCCTTCGCTTTCACTTTCAAATATGAAAAAAAAACATTCAAGGCGGCTTGTTCGAAGGCAAATAAGTACGGCGTTTCCCATAAAATTTATCAGTGCAATAAAGAATCTGTTTCGAGTGCACTATTTTTTTGGTCAGCAAAACGTGATTGCATTACAAGGTCAAGCCGTGTAATTTATGAATTGTAAGCGGATTCTGTAACAAGGACGCTCCTTTTGTTCTTCTTGTATGCTTTCAATTTCTTTGATCGTTCGGACAAAATTTGGCATGTTTAAAGACTTGTCTCTGCAATCCAGGAACATACAGCCACAAAATTGTGCGCCTATCCAGTGCACAGTTTGGCTTTGTAATGTGCGCGGTGATAAAAACCAAGAATTTGTATATGTACTGCGCACAATTAGTATAAAATTGAGATGGACAGATTTTAAAAGACCACCCGCATTGGAGTTCCATGAATAAAAATCGATTATAATTGAGTTTCCTTGTCAGTGTCCACAAAAGTGAAAACAAATCGATTATAATCAATTAAAAATGGAGTATAATATTACTGTTTTTCGGAGCAACAAAATCCTTTTTTCGTCCATTATAATCGATTTATTTTCACTTTTGTGGACACTGACATTGAAACTAAATTATAATTGATTTTTTCCACTTTACTGAGATGCGAATTTCAACGCATAAAGAGTCTTTTCTACGTTTTGATTTAAAGTTGGTTACGTTGGTTATTTGTTGTTCAATTGAATTTTTTTCTACCAAACTTTGATATTTTTGTTACTTTTTTATATTACTCAACATTACCCCCCCTAGCGTTTGCCCATTTACAACAAACCCCCCCCCCAAAAAAAAGTAACGTGTTCAGGTGGGGGGAGGGGTGTTCAGGTGGGGGGTTCAGTGGGGGGAGGGGAGCAAAGGGGCAAACATTAGGGCGTTAGGGGGATTGAAGGGGAGCAAAGGGCAAACTTTGGGGGGAGGGGCAAACTTTGAAATAGATTAGACCAGGCCGTACACTCGCTTTGCAAAGTTTTCACATCACTCACTTGATAAAAGCTGAAATTCTTGCAAAAAAATGCTAAATGCTTGATAAATGCTGAAATTCTTGCAAAACGACGCGCGAAACAAAAATAAAGTGGAAAAAAAATCCATTTTAATGTGATTTCCTACTTATTATAAAATCCATTATAATGGATTCAAAATTAATTATAATGCTTTTTGTTTTGACGAGAAAAAATGGATTTCAAACCGTTTTTAGTCCAATTTTGTTGCCTGAACGTAACACGGGAATCGATTATATTTACAACATTATAGACCACGAAATCCATTGAAATCGATTTTTTTTTCATTTTCTTATATGCGGGAAGTCACAAAGTCAAACATTGCTTAGGATTCAAAAACTACATTTTTCATGTTCCCAGCAATATTGAATCTTCCATTGACTTTTTTCTTTTCTCAAATAGACAAATTGCATCTGTTTGCAGGGGCTCGAAAAAATGGTCTGTCGATAAAAACCACTTATATTGGTTTTTGCAGTTTTGTTACGATCACGGGTTCTCGCCATTGCAGCAGGCGATGGTAGCGAAAACTGATCAGCTGAAATAGAGTGATTGCTTTTAAAACCAGCCACCAATAACTGGTTATTGTTAGAGCTGATTTGACCTTTTTTGCTTTATATCATCTCAATAATTTGATTACGACTTTGCTTCTATATGGTCGATTTTTGAACTCAAATTTTAAGCTTAGTTGCGTATTCATGAGAATGCCATTTGCACACCGCCAGTTAGCAATCTTTGCAGTGAATTCGTGTCCAATTCAGAAGAACGATGCTTTGATTTTTTGAGTTTTCCATAAACTAAAACGGTAAGATGCAAATTAAATGTGAAAATTCCGTGAGTGTAATCATATGACGTTGTTGTAATTCAAAATCATTATCTTCAAAACAAATTATTCTTATCAGGCAAAAAAAAATTGAATTTGTATATTTAAACTAAATTTAAATTTGAAAAAGTCTTTTGGGAACAGCACTATCTTTGTATATTTTTTCATATAAGTTTTCGCATCTGAATTGCAAAGTAGAAACCAGAAAAAAAATTGCAATCTACATATTCACAAACTTGTAATTCTTCAAATACCAAAAATTCTTTTGGTGGTGTGGTATCTCTGATCATCAAAATACTTTAGTTTGGTATAACTATCGAGGATAATACTTTGAGGGGATGCAAATAGGTTTTAAAAACTGAAAAACTGAAAAACAAATGGAGATTTTTTCATTTTTTAATCAATTTTTTGACGTAAAGTTTTTGTCTTGAGGTTTAGAACCTGATACGAGCAATCTTGTTCAATTTTAGTCTAAAGTGCAGGCCTATCTCAATCACAACGGGGAAATTTTAAGTCTATGCTCATTGTCGACCGGAAATTTTGATAATTACAAGTTGATAGTTACAAACAACATGTCATCAATTGTTACAAGTGAAAACTAAAAAGAAAAACTTACTTCTTCGTGTCTGTGAGTATACAACTTAAACAGCATATCTGTTCAACAAAGTACAAATGATTTTTTTTGCCTAGCTTTATTTTTGCCAATATTTTAGTTTTTAAAGATTTTCATAATTTAAAGGCTTCCGATTATTCAACAGTTCAGTTATTGTGTCAAGCTCAGCAGTCACTTCAAGTTGTCTTAATTTAATTGGTTTTTTATAACTGACGAATCCTAATTCCCAATACACGCAATTTTCAAACTTTTTCTTTGCTTTCTTAAAAAAAAGAAATCTATCAGTGAAAAGATATTGCAAGTATTGTCTTTCAGCGCTATTAAATGAGACGATTTGGAGGCTGACATGTCTGCACCCAGACGTATTTCTGAACCAAAAAGCAGACTGGTTAAAATATTATAAAAACGACAACACAGAAATTGATTTACAACCCAGAACCACTCACTGTGCTTCTATGAATGCCAGATTTTTTAGAAGTAGACCTTTTAAAAATTCAGCAGTTGCAAGATTTTAACTTGATTTTTTCTGCAGCGCGGAATAATGACGCTCCTCGATAACAAATGAGGGTTAGTAATTTAACCCATGTTCTTTTGTTTTTGA